TATTTTTTGGTTGCAGCCATCATTGTTGTTTGGCGGGTCCGGGCTGGGGATTCGAACCCACCACCTTAGGTGTACGTGGCTGGCGCCTTAGCCGATTGAGCTATAGGCGCCGAGCCAAGAGATAATATTTTCATGAAGGCTCATTTAATTAAAATAGTCTATCTTTTTTATTAGAAAAAGATCTTAATTAAGATGTCAGAAATATAGTAGAAAATACCAACGAAAAAAATTGAGTATAAGCCTCCTGAGGGTTAAGACAAGACTCCTGACAGCAACCTGCTAACAAGTCAAAGGTCAACAGCCAAACTCCAGTGAAGGACCTGTTGCCATGCCACTATACCTGGACTCTCAGAGATCCTGACAGGTTCCCACTTCAGCTGGGAACATGAACTCTTCAACCTCCTCCATTCTCTGTCCCCCATTCAGTAATCATAGGATTTCAGGGAAAATTAAAAGTAACTCCTCACATGAAAAATATTTACAGTTCCCATGTCTTAAGGTATGAGGTATTCTGCTTCAGAGGGTCTGGATATTTACACAATTTCAAGGTACCTTTCAGAACTTGTTGTCTTGGATTTGGTTTTCAGGGCTAAGTACTTCTCCCTGCAGCTGCCGCATAACAGGTAGTATGGATTTCCACTTCCACATTCACCACCAAACCAGCCATCCACATAGGAGCCATTGCTGCGATATCCCTGGCGGTTTGCACTGCGTCCACAGCCTGGGTGGTTTCTCTTCATGTGTTGATTGAAGCTGACAACGCTGCATTCACACAATTCACACACCACTACTTCTTCCCTGTCTTCAGATTCACAAACATGCTGTACAAAATGATTTTATATCAAATTATTACAGTCAACTTAATGTAAAATTAGGAAATGGAAAATAGATTACTTATGATATTAAATTTACGACTTTGTTTACACATGTTGGAATATTCCAAGATGTTCATTAACATTACATAAAAATATTCTTTCAAATCAGAATTCAGATAATACAATCTGAAGGTGTTCTTTGCCCTCTATCACTCCAATAACTAACTGATCATTCTAATGAGAAAAGAGTTAATGAACACGCCAATCTGTCCTATCTCAAAATGATTTTTTAAAAAAACTTGGCTAGTAAAAAGAACCAATTTTCAGGTGGTCATAAAATGCATAACTGTTTTCTGAATTTCTGAGAAAAATCATAGAATTCATTTATCTTATTGACATACTAGATTCTCTTTTATATAGGACATATACCTATGAGCTTTTTGGTCTCCCTGCTACAAAAATATAATGCTAACAAATGTAGATATAGAAACCAACCATGTACCCTGCCCATGAATGGAGGTATTTACAAGATCTAGATGATCACTGGTTCCTAGCATGAGGCATTACACTGATTAAACAGAACCTATGAAGGAGAACAACATGCATTCAGATAGCAATATGAGTACAGCAGCAGCCATATTATAAAACACAGCAGTATCTACTGGGTCCTGATGCCTAATTTGTAATCTATCTTTGACATCAGAATCAATATGGCCTTATTCATCTAACAGGGAGAGAAGCAATAAAATCGCATGAAGAAAGCAACATGAGACTTTTTCTTTCTTATTAGTTTGTAGGTATCAGTAACAGTAAGCATTAATTCCCCAAACCTCGGAATAAGATAAGTCTTTTGAAAGTTTCAATTCTAGGCAACCCTGCTGTTAGTAAGCTGTATGAACAGGAGGGCAGGGAAAGAAGTCAGAGCAGCCCCCGCTGCAGTCACACACACCCAGGTAGGCCAATCCAGTACCTCTGGGATCCACATTCCCAGAATATCATTGTCACTGGTCAGGTCTTGTCCAAACATAGCTTCCATTGCTTCATCATCAAGATCAATTTCCAATTCCTCATCTAAATTAAAGTCATACAATGCCCCTGGGTCTTGCTGCAAAGATATTCCTTCTCTCCGACTTTGATTCCTGTGGGCCTGCACAGAGCGGTATAACCCCGCTCAGAACAAAACAAAAAAGGCATTTTATTTGTATGAATAAAATAATTCTGAATATTTTTCCAATTCTTAGAGAATTAGCTGAGAACTTAGCTGACTTACTGGATTCCATACCATAAACTTCAAATCATACCTATCACATATGTTTCTTCTACTATAAAATGGGAATAATAATAGTACTCATAACTTACTGGGCTTTTGATAGGTTTAAATAAGATAACCCATGCAAAATACTTTATAATAAGTCCCTTTTCAATTACATGATAAATATAAATTCTATATTTTCTAGGATATTCTCTATTTCTCACTATTTGCATAAATTATCAAATCATTACTAATGTTCTAGTATTTAAATGATCAAATTCTGTTTTGACAAATCACACATTCAAGTTTTTGGTTTGGAAACTATAAGGTACACTTTATAAGCCCAGTACATGAAGTAGAAGAATTTACTAATGTAATGAGCAATCTGGGTCTTACCTAGCAGTGAAACCCTAAAGTCCACAGAATATACCAAAAAAGACAGTGCCTACTATTTTGGCATCATGCCCTTTCTTTTCTTACCACTGATGCTAAATTTCACACATGCATCATTGATGCCTAAATTATAACTGACTGAAGCCAGGAGGAGCATATAAAATTTCTCAACATCTACAAGTGGCCAAGCACAGCCTTTTCCTCCCAAAGGACTTAAAAATAAATCTATAAATGTTTACTATAATTTCAATTAGGTAAAATTAGGTGTAGAAAGTAATATGCAGATAGTTGTTCTATTAATGTGGAGGAGCTGAGTATTTAGTGTCATTAGATTACATCTTTTTTTAATCTTGCTTTTGTATTGATTTTAAAATAAATCTTTCACAAAAAGAAGGACGTGAAACATATAATTACCTGCTCTTGCTAGCAGGGTGCGAGCAGCTAAATCGAACTTGTGCCTTCTTGTTACTGCTGAGCGACCCCTGGCTGGTGGTCCACTTCCAGAAGCTGCATTCTCTGTATGATCCAAATTATCAGGGCTACAAGTGTAATTTCAAAAGCAACATAAATTTTTAAAAAACATCACAAAAAAAGCATAGGTGCAAGATTGGGTGTGTTATTACTTTTTCTCCAAATATCACTAAAAATAAAATATGTTCATGATAAAATCTGCACCTTACCTTTTGCCCCTCACTTATGTCACACCCTGTGCCCTGAGCAATAAGTTTATCTAATTTTTAATTCTGTCAATGATGAAATGACACTCAATGCATGTTCAAATTCAAATGAAATCAAATGACCTTAACAAAATCCTCTATGATTAAATACTTAAAATTTGCAATGATTAGGAATACTTGCCTAAGAGAAACAGATATTTCAAAATATATTACAAAAATATTCACTGAATTTGTTTAAAAAGTCCACATGTTACATAAGACACAGATCTTGGTAATAATACAATTCCATGGTAAAAATGAAGACTGAAAGTCATAAGAAATGAGGAGGAAGAAAAGATTTTAGGGGAGAATTGCAGAGTATTTCATTACATCTCATTTTGGAATAGGCATTATCACAGAAATCTTCTTATAATCTAACAAAGGGGCATATAATACTATAGAAAAGATGAAAATATAAATTTAATTATATTAAGAGATAGAAAAGATTTCTTTTTTTTTTTTTTTCCTAGAAAAGATTTCAAATTAAAAGTTCATTTCCATCAAATTCTATTAAATCCATTTCTACTATTAGGGTGAACACTATTTTATATCATTTATATGAGAGAAAATTGTTTTATTAGCATGTCTATTTTACTTCAGAATAAATTATTTTTATTTTCATTACCCTCTTTCAGCTCAGTTTACATACAAATTAGGAATTTCCTTCTTGCCATGAAAACATGCCTTCATGGAACACTATTAATAGAGGGACCTCACTCAGCAAACACAAGCAGTGTAACCTGGCTCACTGTACCCTCAATGATTCCCCAACAATAAAAAAAAAAAAAAAGGAAAACATCATCAAATCCAAACTTGTCATATCACCTTTACCCTTCAAAGAAACATAAGCTTGTAACTGAAACACCCATCTTTTCATATATATAGGTCACTATGAAAGTTCTGAGATGGACTGTGTTATGGCTCATCATTTCACTTCCAAGTAGTAGTCAACAGCATCCTTTCTGACACACCCATTCAAGTTTCAACTTGCTTGGCTTATCAGTGTTGCGGGGAGGACTTCCTTTGTTTCTATACATGCAGATTTTAGATTTCTTGATTTTTATGCATTTCAAAAGTTTCATAATGACCCATGTACCTATAGTTATCAACATTCATACCATTAGAAGCATTTATGAAGGGATATATATAAATGGGGCTTTGAAATTTATAACACATGGTTCAAATTGCTTATGAAAACACTACACTGTACCCTGTGTTTGCATTAATGTATACAGCTATCATTTAATAAAAAATAAATAAATAAATAAATAAATAGTAGTAAAAAAATTAAATCAGAAATAAATGAAATTCAAAACAAAAGAAAAAAAAACACATGGAACAGAAATACAGGAATTAGAATTTCACCTTTCACTAAAGCCTTCCTCCATTTCAGCAGCATCAGCTGATGGTATGTCTCCTGGTGACTGCAAATAACAGGGATCATTTGACTTTCCACCACTGCCTAGAACGGTTGCTCCATGCCTAGAATCTGATGTGCTGCCTGACTGCGGCTCTTCCTCATCCTCATGCCCAGGGTGCTCTATCATCCACATGGCAAGGACAGTGATATTCTGGGCATCAGCCTCTCCTCGAGCACCTGTACAGGGGGGAAAAATGTCTGATATTTCCTTTGGGTACAATTATGTTATTGTCAATTTAAGAATGTTCGCTATGTAACAAAATCTGGTGTTACAGTCTTTTAAAAAACATGTTACCTTTAATAAGACAGGACTTCGCATATCTGCATATACTGATATATAAAAACTTATTCTACCTGTAGCTTCCATGGCTTTGGCGATTTGCCGAAGAGAGAACCCCATTTCCAGTAAGGGGACTGCAATTGCTGGAGGAGGAGGAGAAGTTGAAAGTCTGCTGCTTGGGTCTGACAAGGCTAAGACAAAAGAAAAAGAAGTAAAGTCTTAAATATCATTACGTACTATGAATAAAAAATGTACTAAAAGTAACCATAAGTCCCCAATATCCTACTGTTGTCCAAATTTAATGAAATTTTACCCTTCTAAGAACAGGCTAACTGTATAACTAAATGTGACTAAATGTGTTACAGTATATGGGGTTTTTCACACAGATAAATCTGCTACTAATACAAAATAAACCTCCTGGAAAATTCTTTAAAATTGACTTATTTTTGAATAATTCTCTACTTACAAAAAATTTCAAATTTATAGAAATTTACAAGAACAACATAAAAATATCACTTTCTGGGGGGCGTTTGTGGTTCAACGGGTAGGGCGCTGGCCCCATGTACTGAGGGTGGCGGGTTCGAACCTGGCCCCACCCAAACTGCAACAAAAATAAATAGCCAGGTGTTGTGGCAGGTGCCTATAGTCCCAGCTAGTTTGGAGGCTGAGGCAAGAGAATCACTTAAGCCAGGAGTTGGAGGTTGCTGTGAGTTATGATGCCATGGCATGGAGGTTGCTGTGAGCTGTGATGCCACTGCACTCTACCCAGGGCAACAGCTTGAGGCTGTGTCTCAAAAAAATAAAAATACAGTATACAATGCATGCTTATGTTTTCGGTAGAGTTTTTTTTTTTTTTTTAAGAAATTTTCAAAGTTTTCCAATTCAAAGTCCTCATTTATTTATTTTATTGATTGATTTTTATTTTTATTTTTTTTGCAGCTTTGGCCAGGGCCGGGTTTGAACCCGCCACCTCCAGCACCCTAGTCTTTGAGCCATAGGCAGTGCCCTATGGGTAGGATTTTTAATCAACAGTAGGGTATTAGTATTTAGGTTTCTGAGGAGTCAAAAGTTATACACAGATTTTTAACTGTGCAAAGGGTCAGTGCTCTGACAACCCCCACAGTTCAGGGGTCAACTAATAAGCCAACAAAGGAGATAAAACAGAGTAATAAAAAATACTAATTTAATCCAAATAAGGTAGAAATGGAGGGAAGGGGAACATAAAACAGATAGAACAAAAGAAAAAGATGATAGATTTAAACCTAACCATAATAATCAAATAATCACATTAAATATAAGTAGTCTAAAAACCCCAATTAAAAGACAGAGAATATCAGGCTAGATTTAAAAACCAAGATCCAACTACAAGATGTCTTTAAGAAACCCACTCTAAATATACAAACACAAACGGGTTAAAAGTAAAATGATGGGAAAAAAGCCATTCTAATACTAATTTGTTTATAAAGCAAGAGTGGGCCAGGCATGGTGGCTCATGCCTGTAATCCTAGCACTCTGGGACGACAAGGTGGGTGGATTAAATGAGCTCACAAGTTCAAGACCAGCCTGAGCCAGAGTGAGACCTCACCTCTAAAAATAGCTAGGCATTGTGGTACGTGCCTGTTGTCCCAGCTACTTGGGAGGCTGAGGAAAGAGTATTGCTTCAGCCCAAGAGTTTGATGTTGCTGTGAGCTGTGATGCCACTATACCCAGCACTACATAGTGAGACCCCCATCTCAAAAAAAAAAAAAAAAGAAAGCAAGAGTGGCTATACTAATATCAGAGAAAGCAAATTTCAGGACAAAGAATATTACCAGAGATAATGATAAAGAGGTCAATTCATTAAAAGGACATAAGAATCCTAAATATTTGGCTCGGCGCCTGTGGCTCAAGCAGCTAAGGCGCCAGCCACATACACCTAAGGTGGCGGGTTTGAATCCCCAGCCCGG